AGTTTTTACTTGGTGATTAACATTCTGTATCAATTCTGGGGAAGTGAGGTATGGATAATGCTTACACTGAAAATGACAAGGTTCAAGGTTACTAAGGACAGGAATAGTGGGACAGGTTTCTTTAGGATTTTTCAAAAGTCTACAATCAGAAGACTTGAAAAATTATTACAGGTGGGGCCCCAAATGGCAACAACTAACCTCCCCTGGACAAAGTGTCTAGAGTCTGGAAAACAATAGCGTGGAGAGGAACTCAGTGAGCAGACAATACCTGGAACCAGGAGGGGCCTGACAAAGAGAAGAAATAGGAAGAAGTGTTACAGAAGAACTAGACCACACTGCAGAGGACAGCGCAGCACCACTGACGGTGGCTGGCTAGCCAACAGCTGGGAGGGAAAGAGAAACCAATAGCTGTTTGCTTACAGAGAACTGCGCTGGGACCACAAGAATCACCAGCAAAGAAAACTCGAACTCAGCTTCCTGAGCAGCCTTCCATGGCGAGCAGCTGTTGAGTGACCTCTGCACACGCATCAGAGGCCACAGTGGTGGAGCAGGAGTGGGCAGGGTTACCTTTGCAGGGAAGGCCTGGGGGTTTAAACCTGGGTTCCTGCGCAGCCCCTCAGCTGCTTCACACGGCCAAGTTCCCGGATGAGGAAGGACGGGCGTCTGCTGCGAGGCAGGGGCTGGTGAAGCCTGACCAGGCCCCTGGGTCAGAGGCCAGGTTCAGGCTGAGCTACACGGGACAGGAGGCTACATTGGCCCTGTCCTCACGGTGAGCAGATCTCTCCATACTGCGCCGTTCTGGGCCGGATGCTGCCTTAGAACAGCGTGAAGACAGGCAAGGCCTGGCCTGAGCTCGGCCCCTAAACCCAGGCTGAGGGAAAGAGCCGCGCGTCCAAATGACAGAAAACTTCCTGTTGTTATTCTACGGATGCTGCTAGAACAGCGTGAAGACAGGCAAGGCCTGGCCTGAGCTCGGCCCCTAAACCCAGGCTGAGGGAAAGAGCCGCGCGTCCAAATGACAGAAAACTTCCTGTTGTTATTCTTTGCTTAAAACTATACTACTTTTTTTTTTGTACTGAGGATCAAACTTGGGACCTTGCACTTGTGAGGAAGGCGATGGCACCACTGAGCTAAATCCCAGCCCTTCATTTTACTATTTTTAATTTTAATTTGACTTTTTAAAATTTCTTTGAACTCTTTGCTGTTTTCCTTGTTCTATACACTTTTATACATTAGTCTATGAGCACATCTGTGTATGTGTGCTTCTCTCCCCCTTGCACTTTTTTCTCAATATAGCTTATAGATAGAAGTGAATTCTCTCTTGTCTGATTATATCCCTCCTGCTTTTATCCATATCTCTTTGTCTTACTTCTTTCTCTTGTATTGATTCATCCTCAGTTTTTCTTTTCTTCCCTCTCCCCCTTTCCATTTGTCTCCCTCTAACTTCTTCTCTAGTATTTCTGTCAGTCATAGCATCTTTTCCCACCCCCATATCTCACTACCAATTTTGTACCCAGTTTCCCTGTTATCCCCACATCTAAATGTATAAGGGATCCTTTGCTCCTCTCCTATTTCTCCTGTTTCCCCCTTCCCGTACCACACAGCATGAGTTGTAAAAAAAAATTGTTTTTCTCTCTTTTCCCTTCTCTTGCCCACGCTGGCATTACCCAGTCCCTAGTTCCGTTGGATTTAGAAAACTGAATCTACAAAATTACCGTTGAATGCTGTTTTTCACTAGTAGGGGAGACACAGCCATCCCATTTAGCGCACATTAACCATGGATCAAGACTTGCACTGTTAAGACGTTTACACTATAAATGTGGATTTCTTTTCTAGGGTAACAGAAGGCACAAAACAAGGTCTCATCGTTATTTCTCAACCAATCTACTACATGACAACAAGAAGACCAATCAGAGGCGAATCACAGAGTTAGAGAAAAACTAGAAGGCACAGGGCACAGGGGAAGTCTTCTTTTAAGAGAAATTTAAACAGAAATACACAACAGCAAAAACAGTAGCTCCAAGGAGAGGCTCCTTATTGTAAAGCACACTCACCCCCTAAGTGTATAATGTCAGCCGTTTGTCATGGTTGCCTGACTGCTATGGGAATGAGCCCAGGGTAACGTGCTCTGGGGCAGCATAGTGACGTGCAGAAGAGAACATGTGTGGGCCAAATACTAAAGGATAAAACTGTTCTTTTACTATGTTGACAATTTTGAAAGTCTCTTCACTCTTCCATGGGAAAAATACGTTTCCAGGGGAAACACCCTAAGCTCCAAGCCATAGGGGAGGAGTAGAAAGGTAAAGTTAATTTGTTTATGTTATACTTCACCAGTCCCCGGAAACTCCTGTCAGCTTCCTCTCTGCCTCCCTGCCTTGGCCGTGGCACCCAGCTCTCGGAACAACAGCCAGGATAATCTCACTGACTTCTGACCTCCTCAGGTATGCCCTGTACATCCTCTTCCAGGCTTTCTGACACATGAAGGACGCCATGGCCCGTTCCAACCTTTGTTGCCTGTGACTTCATTTTCCTGTGACTGCTCCGTCCCACTTTAGGATATCTGTATTTCCTGTTCTGCCTGGAGAGTTCTTCTCAGAAGTAACTTCACATTTCTCTCCTTCAAGTCCTTCAGTCAAATGTCACTTTTTCAGAGAGGTCTTTCTTGATTACCCTATTTAAAATTGTAGATCATCCTCTTTCCAGCAGGTCCTGAACACACTTCTTGCTCTATGATTCTCCAAGTACTCACCACCGCCTAACACACTGTACATGTTCCTTACTGCATTGTCTTCTGCTACGGAACTTTGTGTTTTATTAACATTGCTAGTCCCTGGGCATACGAGTGCTACTAATAAAGTGCTTTACTGGATCAATAAGTGACTTTTATCCTGTGGAAATCATGTACATTAACTATAAGAATGTGTTAAACCAAGAGATTCAGCTTCTTAGTTTTATACATGAATATGGCCACAAGATACACTACTTGAAAATACAAACCGTTTGACTTTACATGCATACATAGATATACATATCTGTAACAGGAACTGACTTTTATAAAATTGTTCTTGCCCTATTCTAAAAATCCCACAGGCTTTCTTCCATGAGACAAAACTTTTTCATCTAGGAAAGCTGAGGAAGGCATGAGAGAGAAGATTATGTTCAATATTGATTTTAAAAATAGAAAAGGGATGTAACATGTACAGATGCAAATTCCCTGTGATGAGTGTTAACATTATATATGCCTAGGGCTGGGGATTTAGCTCAGTGGTTCTGTAACCTGCCTTACAATTGCAAGGGACTGAGTTCAATCTCCGGTAAAAAAAAAAAAAAAAAAAAAAAAAAAAAAAATAAATGTAAAATACAGAAAAAAAAAAAAAAAAAAAAAAAAAAAAAAAAGCATTATATATGCCTAAAATTCACCAATAAATGTTTTGCTATTACATTTTCCCCCCAAATTAGAAAAGGTAGCTTTTTTAAATCTCAGAGAAGCAAAATGTTTCAAAGATGAAAGGACAATTTCTCTAAGACAGAAAGCACTCCTAGTAACTGACAAGAAAATGACACAGATCTCAACCGTCAGCCGGACAAAAGATATAAACAGTTCACAGAAGAGAAATGCAAGTGATCTATGAAACAGGAGAACAGATGCTCCAAACTCATTAAACATGAAAGCTTGATGCCCTCTGTCAGTAAGTGCAAGCCCTGTTATTAGGGGTTGTCTTACGTGTTTCCTTCTGCATCGAAGTTTATTCATTAAAAATCTTTTCAAATTCTCCTGTGCAATTTATTTTATTTTATTTTATTTTTTACCATCTCCTGTTCATTTCCCTAGGATTAAAAATTTTAGCTCCTAAAATGGGAGCCTAGCTTTCTTTAAGAGCCCATAACTGGGACATTTATAAAAAGTTCTGTTCTTCACTTAGACTCCGCTAGGACACAGTAGATGCAGGATGCTTCCTGTCTGGTTAGGGAAAAAAAAAAATAGTCTCAAATTAAGTTTCTGTCATCTTTCAGGACATAGAAGCCATTTTAGCATTTTCAGCTAAGCACAAAGAGTCTTTGGAGCTGCAGAAGAAGATAAAAGAATTCTCAGCACACTATACACTTTCAGAACAAAAATATTAGGAATAAAAATAGTTTCTCAACTCAGTCATTCTTTGGAATTGATAATTTATTTCTCATAGTCACCAAAAGACAGAAAGAGGAGAAAAGGAATATATTTGGCTCTCCTAACAAAAAACATTCATAGTGCTATTCCCTAGTAGGATAATGGACTATTAGATCATCCACAGAATCCCTTTCAGTAATTTGATGATGGGCCTGCATTTTATAAACCATGTTTTGTAACTGTAAAAATAAAATAAACAAGAAAATCATTTAAAAGTAATTCAGTCTACCGATTTTGTTGACTTTCCTATTCCAAATTTCTCATCCCTTCTACAAAAGTGAGTAGCCTATGTTTTAGATTTTCTTGCACCGTAATTAAAACTGAAAGTTTCATGACTGCCACCTACTGGTGAGGAAAAAATAAAAACTTACTTTTAAAATTTCTCATTTTCTCTCCCATATGACAGGATATTCACAACATTTTACATGTTTAAACTTAAAGCAATGGCCATATATTTCTAGTTTTGTAAGAGAAATCAAAATGTTTCCTTTTTACAGCTTAATTTTTTTAAGGAACTGACACAGATGGGTCAATTTTCTGTTTTTATAGACGTAGATGCTAGTTAAATTGACCATAAAATACATGGCTACTAAAAGATAAATCAAATCCAACTAGGCTTATACGGTAAAAATCTTTTTGAAAGACATTAGCTGTATGCACAAATGAATTGCGAAAACAAAAAGACAACTCCATTAATACATTCAAAATACAAAATACACCTAGGAGAAAGTTACCAGAATTTAAGAAGGCAGTCTGCTACTTGAGAGTGAACATCTGCATATTCTCCCTTTTCACACAGAAGCACTTGGCATTTAGAATGCACGGCACGTACCTGGCTTAAAATGTGGTAAAGAATGCACCCCGGGCCACGTGTCCTCACTGGGTGTTCCAAGAACCTAGGGAAGAGGAGAAAATTGTGGAAACAGACTTATTATTTCCAAAACACTCAAAATTCTCAAGTGTAGAAATAGCACACTGCATATTATGAAACTCTGGATTTTTTTTTCCATTATCATTTGCCAAGGATTTCATTTGAGTAAAAACAAACCCGGCTAAGGAGCCACACAAGACGAACGTCTGTGTTTTAACAAATGCAGCTGAATGTGACAAGACAAGTTAAATCTGCTGTACTTTATTAAACCCAAACCTAATGCGCAGGCTAGAGAATCAAACGACAAGCGGTCATCTTCGTGGAACCCAATGGAGAATGTGCGTCCCTCGTATTCTGTCCCGAGCTTTGACCTTTCCCTCCAGTCTCTTGTGTCCCACCGTTTACCGGTTCCAAGAAGTCTTCCACCTCCTCCCCACATCCTTCGCCTGAGCAGCACAACCAGCTTCAAAACGCCAATAGTGACGAGACAGCTTTGAATGCTCCAATTCTTTCCTTTCACTTAACATATTTAATTTTGGGATTCGTAGTTTCCTCCTGCCAAAATGCTGTTCTTCCTACACTTTCTCCTTTCTCTGTTCTTATTTTCATCTTCTTTCTTCCTTCTGTGCTTTTTATCACTGGAATGTTTGATCCGGTGAAAGGAATTCAAGGGCAATTCCAGCTCACAGGTAATGGGACATACTCTGGATTTTCCTTGACGCAGTACCTAACTCTTATACTCAGTGGGAAACCACTGACTGAAAACAGTGGCATTTGTTTAAAGGTTAGAAAGTGCAGATCCTAAAGACAAACTCTTTGGCTTTGAATCCTGGTTTCCCTGCTTTCTACTTGTATGAGTGGGAGCAAGAGAGAGCCACACCGAGCTTAGTTTCCCCTCTGTGAACCGGAAGGGAGTGACAACAGTACCCCGTCATCTGTGTGGAGAGCATGAGCAGGCCCTGGGTAAGCACTGGTGAGCACTCACAGCACCTGAAGAAAAAACACTCTAGTCAGGGTGCAGCTGCCCCGTGGAAGAACATACAGAACACACACCACTGCGGGTTTCACGGCGACTCCCTGTCCGAGCGAGCCAGTCAGCTCCAGATGCAGTATTTAAACTAGGATGGACAAAGAGAGGCCCCGCAGACTAGACCGGGCCAGAGACGGAGCTGTAGAACAGCAAAGAGGAAGGAGAAGGGCAGACACTAAGCAGAGAAACGAGGCACATTCTCCTTATTTCTGAGAATTGACAAGCACTGCTAGGCCGTACGGCAGTACAGAGCCTTGGCTGCGCATGGGTCTCCTGGGGAGGGGAGGGCTGCACTGTCAAGGGCACACCCCTCTACTGAGAGCTTTGTTCACCCACTGTGCGCCACGGGTCAGGATCAAATGCAGGCATTTGTGCTTCTCATGGAGACACTGGGACAGCACATGAGATAATACAATACTTCTTTAAAGTCATAACTGGTTAATTATGAACTAATTGGTTAATTAAGCACTAATCAGTAATAACATTCACAGACACATCTGCACCAACAAGGTCAAATGATTGATGGCTGGGTGAGGAGGGGAGAGAGACAGGCAAGAGGCCTGGAAGAGCTGCTAAGACTGGGAAACAGATCGTGACATCAACAACTGTGACAACAGTGTCTCTGCAAAAGCCACTGCTCCGTTGCTCTTTAATAATTCCAACCATTCTTTCCGGAGACAAAGGAAACCATCAAGTCTGCAGGCAGCAGCACAGCTGAACTGGGAATGCTCCTTTTTTTCTCACACTGAATTTTGCGTGAACAACAATGAGTACTAAACTTTAATGCAAGGTGGAAAATGTAACTAAAGTCATATCTGGAACACAGCCACATTACACATACACAGACACACACACACACACACACACACACACAAATAGAACCTCTCAAAGTATCATAAACAGTGAAAAGCTTAGCCAGAACTTGAACCCTGCTCTCTCCGGCTTCTAATTAAAGTATGGTTATTGTCCTAACTGTCCTTGATTCTACAACACCATTTTGGCAAAACATCTCCCTGGGCCTCCTCCTAGCCCATTCCCAGCGTTCTTTTCAAAGTGATTATTAAATAGTATGGCTGTTCCATAAAAATTACCAAGACGGAGAAAATTTAGAAGACTTATTTTCAACGATAGACTTGACTATTGAGATTCCGCACTCCACTTCTTCTGCCGGAGCATTTGCACAGGAAAACAAGGTGAACAGAAAGTTGGAAACTGAGAAGAAGAAGTAAAAAAAATAATTCTGCTTTCTATAAAGGAAAGAACAGTTTGAGTTAAATGAATGAGCAGCAATGTGCACTAAGGAAATATGGGTGTACAGTGTCCCTGGTACCAGACTTTCACTTACGTTAATGACTAATAAATTCAAGACACTTCTAAGTTAGAATGAAACAGAAAAAATCATGTACAAGTAAAGAGCAACCATTTTCAAAGAAACAAGTGAAACGAAAACTGCATCTATGCTATTAATATTTAAGTGTCTGTGACAGTGAACACTGAGTAGCCATTTGCCAAGTAAAGAAGGGTGCAGATGACAGTGGATTATTCCTGTTATTACTGAAATGTGTACTTTGAGTTCTCCAGAACGTGACTGGTCTGCCTTGTTTCGTCTCCCAGCAGTCTCCTCTTCCTGAGTGCCCTGCCTCTGATTTGGCCCGCTGATCTCTTCTATCTCTCTACCTCCCGCTCACGGGCCACCTCTTCCTCAGAGATTGTCTGGACCCTCTGATCCATGGTGCTTCTCTGTGTACACTTCTGCTACAGGACGACTGTAACACTGCCTGGGAACTGTGAGATAACTCACGTCTTCCCTTGGACTGCAGGCCTCAAGGGGAGACTGTCACATTCATTCACCTTCGGATTCCTAGTGTCTACCATGTGCCTACGACCAGACACAGACTCGGTAAATGTGGACCGACTGAATGAACGAATGGTACGTCTGGCCGGGAGGGGTAAGACGACTGCACCTGAGTTACTGGCTGGGGCAGATCAGGAAGCTGAGGCCACACACTGGATCCAAAGACACCACATTTTACCTCAGTTTCAGGTGTCCTCGACCAGATCACATACACGTGATATATTATATTACAATATTGCGACATGTTCTGATATGCAATACATTATACGGATGGAACCTAGGGGTGGCTCTACAACTGAGCTACACCCCAGATCAAAAATGTTTTAGGCTTTTGAGCCATGGTCTCACTAAATTGCTAAGCTGCCCAGGCTGTGCTTTATCTTATAATCACTGTGCCTCAGCCTCCAGAGTGACAGGGTTATACAGTGTGTGCTATCATGCCTCGTGCTTCATCACAGAAGTTTTATTAAAGGAACAGGCTTGAGTAGCCTCATTGCTTGCTTTTTTTTTTTTTTTTTTTT